GAAATTTGATGATAAATTAGCATACATAGACGTGAATAATGAGCTGCATTATTGAATGTAAAATTTTAATTAATATTAATTAAGAATTAATCTGTGTTTTAATAATCGAATTAGTCGGGTCAATTCAACTGGAAAAATTGGAAATCGGAACCAAAATCGGTCTAGTTAGGCTTATAAAACCTATAATTAAAGACTAAATCGATGAATATTTGGAAAACTCGTGACCTATTTTTGTTTTAACTGGTTCAACCTGTGTAAATGTATATTTTTTTAAAAAATTTAAATGTATATATTTTTAAATTTTTTGTAAATGTATATTTTTAATTTTTTTAAAAACTACGGTTTGATCCCAATTCGATCCCGGTTCAACCTTTTGAACCTGGACTCTTTCTCTTTTTCTGATCGACTTTTAAAATATTGGAATTAATAACATGGACGTGAATGTGAATGTGAAATTCAAATTAATATTAATTAAATGAATGTGAATTAATTATAGTATTTATTACCGTTAGTAAATTAAATACATGTTGAAAAACGAAAAGTAATGTTTATTGAAATAATTGAATTGTAGCAGGGTTATAATCGTCCAAAAATGATTCTCACTTGATGTGATACTCAATATATTATAGATTCTAGTTATTTAGATTTATTTTTAAGTAATTTTTTGTTTAAAATTGAGATATTTTTATTTATTTATTTATTGTTGCTAAAAACTCAATTTTAATAAAAAATAATAAAATGTATAATTAAAAAATATAAAAGTCATGAATCTTAAATAAAATTAATTATTTACTTTAATTTTAGATATTTATCAACTTTTTCAGTCGAATGAAATCTGACTTAAATTTTCATGGTTATTATCTCCTTTACAGAAGCTACCTAAGTTAGATATTTCAATACTCATCCAACTTTTGGGTGTGGTCATTGGTTATTCATCGAATTTCGGAATGCTTTCTATTGATCACTCAACTTTAAAGTGTTTTCATGTTGTCACGAGTTATTCATTGAACTTCAGAATACTTCTCATTGATCATTCAACTTTATGATGTTGCACACTATCACTCCCGAGGTCATCTTGCAAATCAAATATTATTAAACAATTTGTATAAGATTATATTACTGGAGAAAAAATAAATCATTTTACTCTTTCCACGTTCTTATGTTACGCAACTCAATTTATTATTATATATTCCAAATCATCTAATATTATCCCGACCATGAGTAACATTTTTGTTATTTACCAAGTTGAAAACTTCAACTTAAAAACAGGCTTTCTACGTGGTTTTGTCCGTTTTGAACAATAATGGACATTGGATCAAAAGAATGTTGACCTGTGCTAGGGACAAATCAATGTCATTGTATCATATCTACGAGTTTAAGAAATCTTCACATAAGAATGATCTTATAAATTGTAATATTTTTATTATTTTTTTCTATGATCTCCTTTCCATTTTCTTTTATATAATCGTGCTTTCATAATCTTGTTGAATCATTTTTTTTGGCTTGGCCCTGCTTTAAAGTTGAGTGATCAATGTGAAGCATTTTAAAGTTCGATGAGTAATATGTGACCACGTTCAAAGTTGGGTGGGTGTTGAAATACAACATCCTAAAGTTAAGTGACCAATGAAAAAATTCTAAAATTCGATGTGTAACCCGAGATCACACTTAAATTGAGTTGGCGTTAAAACATTTAAGTCGTGAATAATGGAGTGCAATGCCCCTAAAATTGAGTGACTAATAAGAAGCATTTTGAATTTTGTTGATTAATCCGTAATCACACTTAAAAGTTGGATGAGTGATCGAATGCAACACCCTAAAAATGAGCAATAAATAAAAAGCATTATGGAAGTTACATCAGTAACGCGGGTGAGCGTAAAAATCAAAAGTCAGGTGTTTGGAATGAG